ATCAGGGAGCACAAGTGCTGGATCACATGGTAGATGTGACTACTAAAATGTCTTTCAAAGTCTCATCACCGTTATATCCTCCCACCATGTCATGGTTTGGTTAGGAGCTGTCCCACAAAATCTCCAGTTAATGCAGGGATATTCAGAGATGGAATGATTAGACACTGACAGGTAGAACCTAATTAGTCCATCCAGGTTTGAATGGACTGACTGGGTAATAACTGTAGGTAGGTGGAGCCTAGCTGGAGGAGGAGGGTCACTACTGGTGAGGTGCCCTGGAAGCATGCATCTTCCCTGAGGCTCCTTCTCTCTCCCCTCACTCTCTGCTTCCTGACTCCTTCATGAGCTGAGCAGCTTTCCTCCACTGGACTCTTCCCCCATCATGTGCTGCCTCAGCCTGGGTTCAAAGTAATGGAGCTGGCCATCTATGGACTAAGACCTCTGAAACTGTGAGCCCCAAATAAACTTTCCCTCTTCTAATTTGTTCTTGTCAGGTGTTTTGGTCACAGTGACATAAAAGTTAACTAAAACACACCAACAGTGATTAACAGTCCCCATTAAACCATGTCCTCATCAGTGGTTTGGTTTTAGCCATTCTATGTGAAATCTCAGAGTTTATAGTTTTGTACCTTATGTATAGATCTACTATCTATGTTGAATCATCCCTCCAGATGGGTGTAAGATCTCCATGTAGATTCACCCTTATGCATGTGAATGTCCAGTTTTTCCGCCTACTCTTGTTGAAAAAAAAAACTGTCCCTTCTTCATTGATTTGTCTTTGTTTTCTTCTGTCAAAACTTGGTTGAATATAGTTATATAATACATATTCAGCCCTCTATTCTGTACATAAATTTGTCTACTCTTACACCAATATCATACTGTCTGGGTTTCTGTGGAATCTGCACCCATCTTTCTTTCCTTTTCCCTCCTTTGCTTCCACATATGAGAGAAAACGTACACCCCTTAACCTTTTGAGTTTGACTCATTCTGCTTCACATAATGGTCTCTAGTTCCATCCATTTTTCCTCAAATGACATAATTCCAGTGTACTTTATGACTGAATAAAATTCCATTTTCTTTATCCATTCATCCATTCTGATGGACACCTAGGCTCATTCCATAGTTTGACTATTATGGATTGTGCTGCTATAAATATGGGTATGCATATATCACTATAGTATGATGACCTTTATTCTTCAGGATAAATACTGAGGAATAGTATAGCTGGGTCATATGGTGATTCCATGCCTACCCTTTTGAGGAACCTCTATAGGGATTTCCATAGTGGTTGTACTAATTCACAATCTGTTGGGCTATTACAAACAGTATATGCTATTAGAATATGCTATTTGTAATAGCCCAACAGATTGTGAATTAGTACAACCACTATGGAAATATATATATATGTGTTTGTGTGTGTGTGTGTGTGTATGTGTGTGTGTGTATATACACACACTCCTATTCATATCTTTTTGCAACGTATTGCATTTCTGTTCAGTATACATGTATGAGAAAATGTTAACTAGATACATGTTTCCTTTCAATAAATTATGCCTATGAAATGTAAATATGTTTGAATCTACTTAAAAATTTTTTCTAAAAGTGCCAGTTGCTTCACCTACTGATCAACATTTTGTGAGGTTTTTTTTTTAATTTTAATCACGCTGATAGATGACAATAATTATATCTTAATGAAGTTTAATTTGTATTTCCACAAAGCCTAATGATGCTGAGCACTTTTTCAAATGCCCTTTGGCAATATCAACTCTTTTTTATTTATAAATATCTACAATTGGCTTCCTTTTTTAACCACAAGTGTATGGAAAATTTTCTGTATGCACAGAATTGTTTTACTTTGAAACATTTGAAAGAAAATTGTTTACTTACTTCCAAAGATCTGAAATAATTTTAGTATGTATTTCATTAAAACAAGACAATTTTCTTATATAATTATAATCAAGCCATCAGAATCATAAAATTAATACTGATGAACTGAGACCTCCTAATCCTTATTCTCAATAAATCACAAGTATATTCTTTATGTCCTCTGAAAGTTCATTTCAGAATCCAGAATCACATGGCACAATTGTGCCAGTCAACTTCAGTCTAGAACAATTCTTCAGTCTTTTCTTGACTCCCATGACCTTGATAATCTAAGAACATAGACCCAAGGTTTATAAAATGCCCCTTTGTTTGAGCTTGTCTGATGTTGCCTAATCATTCAATTCAGCTTATGCATCTCTGGCACAAAGCTTCACAGGATGACACTTTTTCTTTCCCTCCATGGGTGACAATTTTGATTAGTTTTATTACAAATGATATTCCTTTAATTATTAAGAACAGAGAGTTTCTTGCAGTCTTCTCCACTCTAAACTTATTCTTATTAATTATGTAATTTAGAAGAATTTTATGGGTAGATTCTTTGAAATTTCATAACAGTCTGTCACCAAATTTTCAACTTGTTCCTTTCTTTATTTATAACAACAAGGAAACATAGATTTAATGGTTCCAGTAGATTATAATCAATTCATGCCATTATATATTTCACGGTTCAAATGTAATATATGAGACTAGATTTTGCCTCTCTTTCCATGACACAACCAATTCTTGGTCACTTTCCTATTTTCTTTGTTTTTGTTTTGTTTTGTTTTGTTTTTTGACACTATAACATATTCTAGGTTCATCTTACATTTCCTCTGCTTCAACTTTTCAATCAGCCACTTCCCAAACACTACTGGATCCTTTTATTCAAAAATTTGAAATTGGAGTCAATGATTGTACTGGGTATATTTACTGCTGTGAAGATGTCACAAGACCTAGAGCTTCTTAGGGAGCAGAGTTAGGGAATACATGCTTAAGGATACAGTAAATATCCTGTGCAGAGAGAAAACAACATGGTGGGATTTTATTCGGAGAAGAAATAGACATTGGTTATTACCAGTCAAGGAAAATTATGGCTCACAGCAAGAGGTTAAAAGTTTAAAGAGAAATGACCCCATGAGCTTAAAAACATGAAGAGTTAGGGATCTACAGAAAAGGAGTCAAATTCTAGAAGAATCGCTCATAAGAAACATTTTCTCTTCTCCAAGGCAGATTTTGTTACTAAACTAAAACCTCATGATTATTGGTTGAGAGATTGAGATGCAGAAAGAATCTGAGGACAGCATGTGTCAGATACAAGACAAAAAAAAAATCACCCAACTATGATTAAGCAAGAGCTTCCCTGTATGAGTCCTTGGACATTTGATGCTCCCAATGAACCAGCAGATTCAGGGAGCATCTGTTCCTGATTTCTGGTTATAGGACACTCCTCCTAAGATACAAGGGCATCTCATCCCTCTCTTGAGACCTCCCTTTGGCTGCCAATATGCCCTTCAAATTAATCCCCCAATCTATTGCCTAGGGTACAAAAGGGTTGGTCTTTAATTTGAATCTGCATTCCTACTATCTTAGAACCAATTGATGCAACCCAAGTCAGATCCTGAGGATAAAGGACTTTTTAAGGAACCTTACCTCTACATGTGGTCCCTCTGGACTCCTCACTCTTCACTGTAAAAGGACTTGTAGAAGCACTGAGCCAGAGATTTGAAATCAGGATAAAAGCTGTGGGACTGGAGAAGTGTTCTCTTGCATCTTGATTATATTATAACTTTCAGGACAGTTTTATTAAATAAACATCATTAAAATATTTTCATACTACTTTACAGTATAAATGTGTTAGTCATCTTTCTGTTACTGTGACAAAATTTCTGACCTAAGAAAACAAACTTCTAAAGAGAGAAGATTTAGTTTGACTTATAGTTTCAGAGATTTCATTCCATGAACAGTTAGTTTCATTGCTTTCAGCACTGTGGTATAGCAGTAAATCATGTTGGCAAGGCTTGACAGAGTAAAATCATTCATCTCCTACCCAAGGCAGGAAAGAGAAAGTTCACATGGGTTCCACCAATCCCCTTCTAGTGCACACTCCCAGTGACCTAAGACCTCCCACTATGCTTCACTTCTTAAAGGTTCCTACCACCTCCCAATAAAATCACATACTTAGGAGCACATGGACCTTATGAGGGATGTTCCAGACCCAAACTATACCACTAGATTATGTAATTAGTAATTTTTTGGAATAGGAGTAGGATTTTTGAATTGTGGTAAAGTATGCATAATAAAAAATTTACCACTTTAAGACGTTAGCACACAATTTTTCAATTTGCAAAACTAAGTTTGTATAAAGAAATAATAAATTGCTGTTTTTAGCCTTCTTTTGTCCTTGATGACCACCCACATAAGAGTGTCTTATTAGACACTCTTCATTCTCCAAATAGTACATATTACCACAATCACAGCTCTAATAACCATTCACACAATTTAACCCATAGACACTTAATATTCTATGAATTTTCCCATTCTAGATAGCTCATATTAGTAGAATAATACAGTATTTATACTTTTGTGACTAGCTTATCTAATGTTGCATAATGTCTTCAAGTTTCATCCATGTCATGGGATGTATCAAATTTCCTTTCTATTCAAGGTGTGGAAAATATCTATTGTATGCAAAAAAACACATTTTTCTTAGCACTCCTTCATCAGTGAACACCAGGAATGCTTCCACCCTTGGCATATGGTGAATAATGCTACTTTGAACACAGGGGTACAATAGTTTTGATACACTGCTATTCTTTCTCATGGGGATGTACCTAGAAATGCAATTATTAGGTTACATGATCATTCAATTTTAATTTGTTTAGGAACCACTCACTGTACTCTGTTTCACAGTGGCTGCATCATTTTTCATTCTCCACATATGTGCAGGCCTTCCAATCTCTATATATTCTCACCAACACTCCTGTTTCCTTGTTCTCATTCTCTCTCTCTCTCTCTCTCTCTCTCTCTCTCATAACAACCATCCTAATGTGTACAAGGTGATATCTCACTGTGGTTTTTTCCACCTTTTTTTCTTTCTGCATTTTGCACAACAACAAATTTCTGAGAATGGACCCAGCAACGGCAGTACTTTTTATTCAAAACATGCAGAGAATTCATGGCTCTGAATTGTCATAGACTAGTTATTGTGCTGTTTTACCATGATAGCATGTTAGTAACTGAATATTAGCATCTGTTGTGGTTGATGCAAGAGTTACAGAGTACAGGGAATAGCAGATATACTTTATGCAGTGACCCAGGAAACTCTCCTTAATGAAGGCTGCATGTTCCCTGGATCAGGAGGAGATGGAGATGTGAGGGAGAGCTGAGAGGAGGAATCCCTGAGAGAATGAGGGGAATGATGCCTCCAAGGAAGAGAAGTGGCAGGTGTGGCACAGCAGCAGCCAGTAGCCCTTCTTCAGACAGGAATGAAGCAGAGCTGGTACAAAGGTGGCACACAGCCAAACGCATTGGCAATGGGGGTGGTGTCGATGTCCTTGGGGTCAATCACAGGTTTCAGCTTAAAATTCTGTAAAATGGTGGTCAGGAACAAAAACAGCTCCATGCGGGCCAGGCCTTCTCCCACACACATACGTTTTCCTAAAGATGACAAACACAGAGTTTTCCCACCTTAAACATTAGGTATGGCAATGCTATAAAAAGTATGCAACCCTGTCTCAAAATTTAAAATGGGCTGGGGGTAAGCACCACTGGGTTCCATCCTGGTTCTTAAAAAAAAAAAAAAAAAGTATGCCATAACTATTCGATGAATGATTACTTACATGCCTGCATCAGACACAGGACACTTGGAATGAAGGTTGGTTAGACAGATGCACAGAAAAGTGGAGACATTCGCTAGTCACTCTACATCTCATCTTATTAGACACTCTTCATTCTCCAAATAGTACATATTACCACAATCACAGCTCTAATAACCATTCACACAATTTAACTGCACTTTTGACATTTCAAGTTTACATGAATCTTTTTCTGAAAACATACATTTCCCACCCAGACAACTGAAGGGAAGAGGACAAGAAGAATGTTCCCTTTGTACCTCTGGCACAATTCTCAGCCACAGATCCTTGTACCCTAGCATCATTTCATGATCACCCATCTTCACCTCTCACTCCCTCATTTTAGAGGTTCCAAAGGTTCCTTGTCTGTCGTGAGACAAGGAAGGAATAGCCTGACCTGGTCCTCACATTCTTTTCCCTCTCTGATGTTCAGTCTCAACTCACATTCTCTCCTCTCAGCTCCCGGCAAGAAGCCTCTTCATCCTCCCACACCATGAAGTTTCAAGCTTCCCCTTATGGTGTCCCATTTGGCTAAGAAGCACTGCTTTTATGCTTTCATTAGTACCCATGTCCCTGTCATTTCCTCTTTATAATGCTTGTGATCTCCTCAGGCAGTAGAGGCTCACCCTCTAAATTTCCTCAACACAGTCAGGCTTCCACAGCAGCGTGGATCACCTCAAATCCCATTTTCTGTTATTCTCTACCTTGCTAAAATATGAGTCACTCAGACTTAAAAGAAGGGCTTCATCCTTGACATCTCAATATGGACAGTTCTGGGCCCATCTAAAGTCATAACAAAAAAATGAAGGTGACTCCTTATCTAGAGTTTCAACACACACAATTTAGCAGTGAGACTGAATATCCCAAATGCATGATCATGAGTAGAGGAAGAGAAAGGTTCTCTTCAATCACTGCAGACTCTTCTTCCACATTCCCAAGGTTTTGCTCAGTCTACACTTAGGTGATATGTTCTGACCCCCCAGATCTATAGGAAACATCCTTTCCTATACTTCATTACCTCTGTAAAGTGCCCTGCTTTCTCTTTTTTCCTTGCTCCCTACTTCCTACAAGCTAGCTCAACTCTACTTTACCTTGTTAGGATGTGCCAGGGTATGAAAAGGCAGAATGCAAGCAACTTCACCCTCTGCCTCCCCAGAAACCTGAGCTTACCTCTCTCACAGGTGCCAGTCCTACTAGAGAATGATCTGTTTGCTTGTCTGCTTCCTAACTCAGTAGAGAGACTCTTAAAAGCCCATTATATTCTCTAGGATATTTGCAAATGTTTGGAAGTGAGGGACACCACAGAGGAGATACTTAAGGTGTGGACTGAGATACCTTTCTCATGGCAAAGAAGGAAAGTTTTAATGAGTTTCACTTCTAAGAAGGAAATGCTTAGAAGTTTCAGCTAAGTAACTTGTTTGTATATCCAGAGGCATAATTCAACCAACTTCGACTGTGAGCTTTCTCCATTTGGAAAATCGGTCAGATACCCCAAAAAGCCCCACTAATGTAGCACAATAGTGAGGATATGTCATGACCAAGGAAAGTTCATGGGCATTGAAGGGGAACTTCTAGTGATGTATAAAAAAGAAATGTACCAGTCCCAAAGGAGGCACCACGTAATTTCCAACTGGTCTCAGAATTTATGTTTCAGAGTTGAGTGTAGTGGTGTATGCCTATAGTCCCTGATACTTCAGAGGCTAAGGTGGAGGATGGTTGGAGTTCAGGAGTTCAAAGCCAACCTTGGCAACAGCATCTCTTTTAAAAAAAAGTCATCTTATATTCCCCTAAAATACTAGTGGAAGTAAATCTTTATTACCTGTTGAGAAAGGCATGAAGTAGTCACTCTTCTTAAAGTTGCCATTCTCATCCAGAAAGTGGCCAGGGTCAAAAGTCTCTGGGTTAGGGAATTCTTTATCATCATGCAGGACAGATGTCAGTGATGTTATTAAGTCTGTCCCCTGAAAAGAGAAGACAGACAAAATAAGTTACAAAAATTTCAAGGATGGGAGGAAGTGATGTAGGTCACCTAATCCAATCTGTTTGATCTATAAATGTGGAAAACCAGGTCCAAAGAAAAGCAATGACATTTCCAGGAAGTCAAACCAATTAAAAACTGCATTAGAAGTTGAAGGATGAAATACTTTGCAATTTGAGTGCAAAACCTTCTGAATTTCTCTACTTAGCACCAAGCTGGGACACAAAGTTTCTCCACATGTTACTCTATTTCATTACTTCAGTATTCACACAACTGGTATGTGGATTATGATTAAAAACCTAGCTTGTGCTCCCTCCCAAAATGTCAGTAGAATTTGGAATCTGTTTTATAAGTCTTTTTTGTCTTTGTTTTCCATAGTTTTTATTGGTTCATTATAGTGGTACATAATGGTTCAATTTGTTGTTACATATTTATACATGCACACAATATAACTATGTAATTTGGTGTTTATAGGCCTTTTTCAAATGGGAGAGCTGATCTGATTTAAGATGACTTCTGAGAAGATATTAACAAGTACAATAATGCCTATTGAGTACTTATCATTGAAATGCAATGTTTTCCTTTTGATTTAAAATGGAAAGGACAACCAGAAGGGTGAGCAGTTATACTCCACTTATGTATGATGCATCAAAATGCATTCTACTGTCATGTACAACTAATTAGAATAAAGAATAAAGTGGGAAGGAACTCATCATCACAGATGAATCCTCTTTAGAACACAGCAGGATTGCAAAATTTGAAAAGTTATTATTTTGCAACAATTCAGGTAAGATCATCAACCCAGGCAGGGATCATTGATTAATGTAAAATCTACTGGGTGCGGTATTTGAGGAAAAGGATATTCTCAGCCACAGATCCTTGTTCCCTAGCATAATTTCATGATCACCCATCTTCACCTCTTACTCCCTCATTTTAGAGGTTCCAAAGGTTCCTTGTCTGTCCTGAAACAGACATATATCCCATGGACTTTTTTTATCATCTCAACAACAGGGAGATCTGGAAGACATCCCCATAGCAAGTTTGAATCTTAGTATCACCAATAATGGTACAAACTGATATTTTTTGCCCCCAGTCACAATCTGATGTAGTTAGACATATGTAATATTTAAAAATCTATTTAAAATATTTTTAAAATATTACTCACCATGCTCAACTGAGTTTCATCCTAGAGGTGCAAGGATATATATAGCACAACATATTCAACTTAATAAATGTGAAAAACCACATCAACAGAATGAAAGGCAAAAAACATAGTATTATCTCAATAGATGCAGAAAAAGCACTTGATAAAATTAACATTCCTTCGTGATAAAAAATGAACAAAGTACATATAGAAGAAATGTATACATGGACTTTATTATATTTTTTATTTATTATATATTATATATATTATATATGGCCTTTATTATATTATATATAATAATAAAATCTAATTTATATATATGTGTGTGTGTGTATATATATATATATATATCAGCTAAAAAGTTAATATAATATTTAATGGAAAAAAGTTAAATGCTTCCTTTCTAAGATCTGGAAAAAGACAAATGCTCCTTTTAACCACTTTTATTCAACATAGTACTGGAAGTCCTGGACAGAGCAATCAGGCAAGAGAAAGGAATATAGGGCATTTCAAGTACAAAAGAGGGGCTGGGAATGTGGCTCAAGTGGTAGCGCGCTCGCCAGGCATGCCTGCGGCCCGGGTTCGATCCTCAGCACCACATACAAACAAAGATGTTGTGTCTGCCAAAAACTAAAAAATAAATATTAAAAAAAATTTTAAAAAAAGGAAATCCTTCACTTGCAACAACATGAATAGAACTGGAGATCACTATGTTAAGTGAAATAAGCCAAGTACAGAAAAGGAAGTATTTGATCTCACTCATATGTGCAATTTTTTTTAAATCTCAAAAAAATGAGATTAGATTGGTGTTTACCAGAGGCTAGGAAAGGAAGAGGGTGGAAGATTAACCAATGGGTAACAAGTTGCAATTATTTAGGAGAAAAAAAGTTCAGAAGTGCCATTGCAGAGTCAGGTGACACTAGACAGCAATTGTGTACTGTGTATTCTCGAAAAGCTAGAAAAAAGAATTTTGAGTGCTTTCACTAGAGGGGAATAGTAAACACTAAGGATACAGATGTTTAACTGAATTATACAACATAGACATGTATCTAAACACTACATGTTACCCTATGAACAATTTAGAGAAATAAAAATTAAAAATGGTTACATTATGAGAATTAGAAAATAAGAACTAAAACAAGTATTGAACCATGCAATGTGTACACATAAGTTATTAATAAATTTATAAATTATTTAGCAATAATAAGTTAATTTAACAAGGTTGCTCAGCATAGGATCATCAAAATAATAAATAATAAAGTCAATTTGATTTTCATATGCCAGAGACAAAAGGCATTTTTGAAAATACACTATTTACAATAAACTAAAAAATCTCATTTATTTAGAGAAAACCATAAATGTACAAGCTGATGTATTGAAAACAAAAAATATATATAAAGAAAATTAAATAAAGCCCAAAGGAATTGGAACATAATTGTATCTATGAACGGAAAGAATTAACATGTCAAGACACCAATGCTTTCTAAATTAAACTAGAAAACTAGAAGGTTTTTCTGTAAATTATGTTGACCTTTATTAATAAAATCTGAAAAAAACTCAGAAAATCTTTTTGGAAAATTAATAATCTGGACTTTTAACTTTCTTTTGGAGATATAAATACCTAAGAGTTGCCAAAAGAAATTATCAAAGAAGTACAACAAATTTGGAAGATGTCACCAATCAAGAAGTGTTGGGAAGCTTTATAGTTTCAAACTGTAAACAGCACAAAGTCCATCAAGTGCCACAAGTGTGAGTTTTTTACCTCTCTCATCCTGTGTTGGTAGAGGATTGGGACCATACTGTGAATTCAGGAACTTTAAAAGCACTGAGATGCAGAATAATAGAAACAATCTTACCTTGGGGATAATGTAGTTTCTGAATTTAATGTTACAGGTCGCTGCATGGGGCACATTGTTGGGTATGAGGTTAATATATCTCTGAATTTCATGCACCACGGCATCTGTGTAGGGCATGTAACTTCTGTCCTGCATACAGGGGCTCCGGTGTCTGCCAATCACATGTTCAATCTCTTCCTGGGCTTTAGCTGGTAAGACACAAGAAATAATAGAGTAAGAGAAAATGGTACATTTGTCACAATAATTCAAGTCTACATGAAGTATGAAGCATTATAAGCCCATAAAATACAGCTACACTTAAAATTGCTCTGCTGTGGATACATATAGCTCCTACAAACTAAGCATTAAGATAATTCTTTGTTTAATTTTTATTTTTTATTTATATATGATGGTGGAATGCATTACAATTCTTATTACACAGGTACAGCACAATTTTTCATATCTCTGGTTGTATACACAGTATATTCACACCAATCCATATCTTTATACCTGTACTTTGGATAATAATGATCATCACATTCCACCATCATTAATAACCCCATGCCCCTTCCCTTCCCCTCAACCCCTCTGCCCTATCTAGAGTTTGTCTATTCCTCTCATGCTCCTGCTTCCTATCCCACTATGAGTTAGCCTCCTTATATCAGAGAAAACATTCAGCATTTGTTTTTTGGGGATTGGCTAACTTCACTTAGCATTATCATTTATAACTCCATCCATTTACCTGCGAATGCCATGATTTTATTCTCTTTTATTGCATTAATATAATTCTATACACATCTACACATTACTGTATTGGATAACCAATACATAGAAACAATGAAGTAGTTCAATATATAAATATCTTGTATATATGAATGCAAATCACTATCCTCACAAAAAGAAAGATGGAAGACAAGAATCAATTCCACATCAAATTAACAAAAGGTATTTCAAATTTTGAATTGCACTAACAGATTTCTATGTGTACATGGGGGGTTTTTTGTGCTGTGTATATGTATGTTTATTTTCAACTTGCAATGAAAATACACTCCCCAAAGGCACTTACTTTGAAACATTCTAGAAGTTTTTTCTGTAAATTATGCTGACCTTTATTAACAATGACTTTCTATTAGTTGATCATCATTTTAGACAATATCTAAAACTTACTGGTAATAGAAATGAGGACTTACATCTCCATCATCACCTTGTGCAAAGTATGCAAAGACACACACAAACACACACACACACACACACACACACACACACAAACAGGTAAAATTTCCCTGCTCTCTTTTTCCCAATGTAATAATATAATAATTATTATTTTGTCAGTATTCATTGTTTACAGTAATATGACTTTAGAAATATCATTTACAAGTAAGAAGAGCATGGTGATACATATCAATAATATCAGCAGCTTGAGAGGCTGAAGCAAAAGGATTGCAAGTTCAAGACCAGTCTCAGCAACTTAGCAAGGCCCTGTCTCAAGATAAAAAATGAAAAAACCTGGCCTGGGGATGTGGCTCAGTGGTTAAGTGGCCCTGGGTTCAATCCTGGTACTGGAAAAAAAAATAGTTTTGATTTTCATTTCTCTAATTGCTAGAGATGTTGAACATTTTTCATATATTTCTTGATTCATTGTATGTCATCTTCTGAGAAGTGTCTATTCAGTTCCTTGGCCCATTTATTGATTGGGTTATATGGGGTTTTTGGTGTTAAGATTTTTTAGTTCTTTATATATCCTAGAGATTAGTGCTCTATCTGATGTGCATGGGGCAAAAACTTGCTCCCAAAATATAGGTTCTCTATTCACCTCACTGATTGTTTCTTTTGCTAGGAAGCTTTTGAGTTTAAAGCCATCCCATTTATTGATTCCTGATTTTAATTCTTGCACTAGAGGAGTCTTATTTAGGAGTCAGGGCCTAATCTGACATGATGGAGATTTAGGCCTGATTTTTCTTCTGCTAGGCACAGTGCCTCTGGTTTAATTCCTAGGTCCTTGATCCGCTTTGAGTTGAGTTTTGTGCATGGTGAGAGATGGACATCATTACCCTAAGTACAAGTATGAAGACACAAGTGGTGTAATTCTACCTTGTGTACAACCACAAATATGAAAAATTATACTCTGTATGTGTAATATGAATTGTAATGCATTCTGCTGTTATATATAACAAATTAAAACTTTAAAAACAAATAAAAAATAAAGAAAGGAAGAAATATCATTTACAAGTAAAACAATTATAATTGTGCTTCAGCTTTTGTGAAAGTCTTGGACTTTAAAAAAGTGTCTATTTTAATTCCTAACTTTTAGATACCAATTTAGAATTACTGCAAATTTTCATGTATGTTTCAGATTTCTAGTAAAAATTTTCTCATTACTAAAATCATCAAATAATCACTCATGTTCCTTTGGTTCTTGGTGTCTTCTCTAATACCTGCATTATCCACCTGACCCATTCCAGGACAGGTGCCCAGCAACATGGACTTTCTCATTGACCTCTACTTTGTGTATAACCAGAGATATGAAAAATTGTGCTCTATATGTATAATATGAATTGTAATGCATTCTGCTGTCATATATAACAAGTTAAAATTTAAAAATAAATTTTAAAAAATAAAGAAAGGAAGAAAGAAAGATATTTACAAGTAAATATCTTTGACCTCTCCTGATTCCTGGAACCTATGACTTCCTCTGACTTGGTTTCAGACATTTGGATAGAGCACATCTTTTAGTATCTTTCTGAGAAAGTAAAGACAAGAAGTAAAATTTTGCCAACTTATAGGCATGAAAATATTTTTTTGTCTATGAATGCACAGAGGACAGTTGTTATTCAGAATTCTACTATCATTCTGATTCTTAATCTTCATATATAACTTATTTATCCCTGAAAGTATAGGTAATTTCTATTTTATGCATGGTTTTCTGAAATTCCATAATCCTGTGTCTTTGGGTGAATGTTTTCATTTTATTTATTTCTCTGGACATTTGTTGTGAATTTTTTCTAGATGGCAAAAAAAATGGAGGTCTTTCCATTGGCACTACTCATTCTCTAGAGTTTACACCTGGCTGCTGAAGCATGAATAAGATGGAGAAGGAGGTAAGGTTCTCAGAATTTGAGTGAACTCTTACTAACCCCTTCCTTCAGCCCTGCACTCCATTCTTTCCCAGTGTCTGTGTTCCTGAGTGCTGGGCCCTTAGACTCAGTTACTCTTGAGAGTGATCATCTTTCCTCTAGGAGAAGTTATCTGATAAATTGTGAGGTGGAAGGAACCTGGGCAGGGAGACCTTCTGTTTCTGATTTGTCCTCCCTCTATTTCTTTGACACTTGGTTCTGAAATATACTGAGCCTTATGGAAGTTGTAGGGACCCAAATTGACCTGTTCATCCATGTTAAATCTTCCTATTATGACATTCAGGGTACAATTTCAATCATTCTGCCTAATTAGTCACCTCCTGTTCATGTGTTCTGTTTCCTTCCAAAGTTTTATAAAGATTTACTGCTAATTTCTACACTCTTCAACTTACATAGAAGTAATTCTCATTTGTGATTAATTTATTATCATCTCAATGGAACTCTGACCCAGGGAAAAATATATGTTTATTAACAGAATCTGCTTAGAGGTAAATTTTTTTTAAAAAAATTAAGGTTGCTTGTAAAAGAGAAAGCTATTAATACTCAGAAAAAAAATCTCTTCTTGGCAAGTATTTATCTAGACTCAGACTTCTAGAATAATAAAATGCATTAGGCACATATTTTGCCTAAATAACATCTCTTTCTTATAAATAGGAGCTATTAAAATACTTCTCAGAATCTGGAAAATTTCTCAAGCCATCTACCAAATTTCCAGACTATTTACTATGCTTCAACAAATAGTTTCCATCTTCCCTGACCCCATATCAGAACACCACTGTTTCAGAATAAAGATCTATAACAACACATCCATTATTCAAAGTGGTCTGTTCTCTAGAAAACCAAAATACAAGGATGCCTGTGCCTGCTGAAAATTCCCTCTCATGACATCTAAACTCTTCATCCAGAGTATTTTGTCACTAAAATACAAACACTTTTCTCTCATTCACTTTCTTCTATTTTCCAAATTTGTCTCATTGTTATTCCCTTGTGACATTAGTAAAAATTATATCTCATAGCCCACATGTTTTGATAATTAAGTTTCTCTAAGAGGAAAACTGTGCTCATACCTGTAATTTCTTGGTGCTTCAGCAGGAGCAGGAGTCCATATCTCAGAGTGGTACTTGTTGTTTCTGTTCCAGCTACAAACATGTCAGTTACAGTGGCCAACAAGCTTTCAATAGTAAACTCAGACTGTTGATTGTGCTTCTCCTAGGAATTTTTGATTATTTAATTATTAAATAGCTACCATCATATTGAATTATAATAAATCCAAAACAACACAAGTTATTCCAAAAATAAGCATATTTAGAAATAGAAAGTATATTATGCATACAACTGAATAGTATAGAAGAGAATGTAAATTAGTTGACCCAAATTTCATTTTTTATTTAACCCTTATTTCTTGTTTGCCTTAAAATTCCATTGCCCAGATTTTATTGCAGCTATGTTGGTCATAATACATATTTGATGCCAAAGACATAAGAGAAAGAATCTGCTGGTATGATTTTCTCTTTCCTTCTTCTTACTAAAACACATATGTGACAATGGAGTGGGTACAGGCAATACTTGGGAACATGAGTATTTCAGCTTCAATGCAAAGGCTCATACAACAAGTATGATGATGAATAATGGCAGGCACATGAGTTCTTGGTGATTCAGGGCTATTGTATTGGCTCTGGACTAAACAATAGAGACTCTCTGTATATGAGATATGCATACTATTTTTTAATCCATTGTTAATTTTTTTCTTTCTTATTTACACACAGAATCTTAACTGATACAAAAAGATAAATTAGAGCCAAATTTTGTAGAATATTATGAGTCATAATCAAGAGTTTGCAGTTTTTAGCTGGGCGCAGTGGCACATGCATATAAGCCCAGCAATTTGGAAGGCTGAAGCAAGAGGATAGCAAGTTCAAAGACAGCCTTAGCAATGCAGTGAGACCCTAAGTAACTTAGCAAGATCCTGTCTCAAAAATAAAATATAAAAAGGGCTAGGGGTGGGGCTGGGGTTGTGGCTCAGTGGTAGCACACTTGCTTAGCACATGTGAGGCATTGGGTTTGATCCTCAGCACCACATTAAAAAAAATAAATAAATACAGTTCTTATGTCCATCTACAACTAAAAATATTTTTTAAAGTGACTAGGAATGTGGTTCAGTGGCTAAGCACCCTGGGTTCAATCCCTGGTACAAAAAAAAAAGTGAAAGATTACAGTTTTTAGAGCACAACATGAGCCACAAAGCTGAATGAGACTTGCCTCTCCCTCCACCCCTGAATGCACCACTACACAAATCAATTCCCTCTCAGAGAAAGAAATCAGTTGAGAAAGTCTTACACAGTTGTCATTGGAGAAAACATCCACACAAAATAAGATGTAAAAGCCACAAGATTTTTGGGCAGTGACCCCACCCTGAGGACTAAAACCACACAATCTTGAAGGAATCACCACCACTCTGATTTTCCCTAAGAAGAAGAGGGATTGGACCACAGTTATTACACCCTAACTCAAAAATTCCCCATGGTTTGTCTCTTCACCAACTCTAGGAATAGAGGAGAGCATGCATCCATGTGTTATTTGAGGGTTTTTTACATTTTTTGCATGCGTTTTATTTTTTTTTTATTAGTGCATTTTAGTTATACATAATAGTTGAGTTGGTTTGACAAAATCATACATGCATGGAATTTAATTTACTGAGTTTCAGACCCCAGTCTCCCCACATTTTTCTCCCCTCCTACCTCATTCTTCTTTTTCTACTCGTCTTCATTTGTTTATTTATCTATTTTTATTGGTGCTTTATAGATAAACATACAGGTGAAATTCGCTGCAGTATACTTACACATGTGCACAGCATGGTTTTGCTCAATTCATTCTGCATTGTCTCCCATTCCTGTTCTTCTTCCCTCCCTTCTTTACTCCACCTTATGGTGGTTTCATTCCTAGTTTTTTGAGGAATCTGCATCTGCACACTGCTTTCCAGACTGGCTATACTGATTTTCAGTCCCACCAACAATGTAAGAATGGACCTTTTCCCCCACTTTCTTACCTGCATATATCATGTTTATGTCCTGAATAATTGCAATTCTGACTGGAGTGAAATGAAGTCTGAGTGTCATTTGATTTGATTGCTAGAGATGATGAACATATTTTCATATATTTGTTGGCCATTTGTATTTCTTATTTTGAGAAATGTCTTTGCCCACTTCTTGGTTTGGTTATTTGTTTTTCTGGTTTTTGTTGTTATGTTTCATTTTTGGTTTTGGTTTTGTTTTGGTGTTATGCTTTTGAGTTCTTTACTTAGTCTGGATATTAATCCCCTATCAGAGGAATAGCAAGTAAAAGTTTTCTCCTATTTCATAGGCTCTCTCTTTATGTTCTTAATCATTTCCTTTGCTTATGCCCAAGGTTTTTAACTTGATGACATCCCACTTACTGATTATTGGTTTTATTTCTTGAGTTTTAGGGGTCTTGTTGAGGAAGTCAGTGCCTCCACTAATATGCATCCACATGTTTCTCTAGACCACGAAAATTTGGCTATCTGATAAAAGCCTGCAAGCATCCTCACAGGCTTCAATATCCATGGCAGAGAAGGAAATAAAATACAAAGGCCATGGTTTCTTCCTGAAAAGAATTTACTAACATACTCCACCAACTGCTTCTGCTCCCACATAAGCTACTAATTATTAGGAAGTTTACTAGGCCAAGAAACAAATCCCTGGCAGCGTGAGCATGAGTTTGGCACTTTATAAGCTTTCTCCAAAGGCACCCAAAGTGATAACTTCAGGTGTACCTATTCAACTTGTAAGAAGCTTGTTTCTACACTGAGTGCCAAAATCTGTACAGCCCTGCATCATTAACCACCTAGCTTGGGGAGTTGATGGGATTTGCATCCTTAGATCACAGAAGGTGGACAAACAACAAACAACAGGAACAATTCCAGGAGCTATCTTCTGATCACAGAGAGTAGTTGGAATGTGAATGCAGGTATTGACCACAGAAACTCTCCATGGCATGGTGGATAGAGAGAAAGTAGGAGATTCACACACATTCTCAGTTTCATTGTGAGGATACAGGGAATTGGAAGACTTTTCTAACATCCCAGACTTTTCAACTATATGTAGAGTGTGTGAATTCTTCCTTAACTATCTTGTGGTACTGACAAGATAGTACCACAAATGGCAAATCCTATAATCTCAAAGGGCTGAAAAAACAGACATGGCAAATCCTATAATCTCAAAGGGCTGAAAAAACAGACACAGCAGTTCAAACAAATACAAATATTTGAGAGTCACAGTTTATCTACAGATAAACTAGTGAGATCCTTCTACTACTAGAGAATAGTCTTAAAGACCAGAAGAGACAGAAAGTCAAGAAAAATTGAGAACTAGGAACATATGGTCTACATAAGATAAATCTCCAAAATCCAACCTTAGCAAAATGGAGAAGTGATTTGCCTGACAAGAGAATTCAAAATAATTTTCATAAAGATGCTTACTGAGGGAGAGCAATGAAAGAAGAAACTGACAAAGGGAAATGAAAGGAAGGGAGTGGGGATAGGAATAGGAAAGACAATAGAAAAAATCTAAAATAATTTTCCAATATATACATATGAAAACGCCTAAGTAAACCCCACCATCATGCCCAACCATAAGAATGGGTTCCTAATTAGAATAAGATATATCCCATGCTTCTATAATTTTATAAAAATGGATTCTGCTGTCATGTATAACTAAGAAGAAAAAATAAAAATAAATAAATAAAAATAGCAAACTGATAATTTCATCAAATTACAGAAAATGTATTTCTCAACCACTATAGAAAATACAAAACAGTGCCAAAAAGAAATTATAGTGATGGAGAATGCTATAACTGAACTGAAAAATTCAACAGAGAAATTCGACAGCAAAATAGATCAAGCAGAAGAAAGGATCCGTAAATTCAAATGTAGGTTGCTGCCAATCTGAGAAGAAAAAAAAAGAATGAAAAAGAGTGAAGACAGCTTAAGGACATCAAGAACACAATCAAGTGGAACAACATAAGTAATATTGTCATGCCAGGACAGAGATTGAAAGAAGCAAAAAACCTATCAAAATATATAACAATTTCCCAAGCCTGGAAAAAGAATTAGAAATCCAGGTTTAGGAAGTTCAGGGGACACCAAATAAGATGAACCCAAAGAGAACCACACAACACACATAATAGTCAAATTGCCAAAAGTTTAATGCAGAGGATTTTCCAGGCAGCAAGGTAAAGATGACTTATAACATAGAAGGGAATTATAATGAGATTCTCAGTGAATTAATTATTTTCAGCAAAAATCTTATAGGACAAAGATTGATATATATATATTTTTTCAAAATTCTGGGGTGAGGGACATGCTTATCAATGGATACTTACCCTGAAATTCTAAATATAAAAATATATATAACAAGCCTACAGCAAACATCATATTCACCACTGCAAAGTTGAAAGCATTGCCTCTAAGACCAAGAAAGCAAAACAGTAACAAAAGGAATGGGAAATGGGCAATCTCTTCAATAAATAACGTGGAAACTGGGTATCCACGTACCCAAGAATAAAATTTGACCATTACCTCAATCCTTGTAGAAGATTTGGCTCAAAATTCATTAAAACCTCCATGTCACTGGTCTGGAAGGTGATTTCTCAGATATAACCACAACACCACAGGCAATGAGAGCTAAAATAGCAAATGTGATTTCCTCAAACTAAAAGTGTCTGCACCTCAAAGGAAACAATTATCACAGTGAAGAGACAATCTACAGATCAGCAGAAAGTATTTGCAAATGAGGAGGGGCTAATATCCTAAATATATAAGGAACTCAAATTACTCAATAACAAGAAAATAAATAACACTATTTACAAATGAACAAAGGATATGAATAAACTCTTCTCAAAGTAAGACTTACAAATGGCCAAAATATATGAAAAAAAATATTCAACATTACAAATCATAAGGGAAATGCTCACTCCACTTAGAATGGCAAAAAAAAGTCAAATTACTTCAGAGTAATAATAGAGCTGGTGAAGATGTGGAGAAAATAGAACCCTTGCACACTATTGATGTATATGAAAATTACCAAACAGCATCACAGTTCTCACCACTGCAGCTTTCCATACAGAACCTATCATTTGCCTCTCATCTGCTCCTCTACCTAAAACTCATTTCTGTAGAGTTGTAGAATATGACAAGAGTGAAGACTTGATTTTGTTTCATGATCTTCAAACTGACAAAGTCCAAAGAGGTGAAAAAATCTCATAGCTGGCTTATACATATACCTGATCAAATCCCACTCCAGGCCAATGTTCAGGTTTTCAGAGTACTTGAAAGAAATTTCCACCTCCTTATCTACCAAAATTCATTTCTGGTTACACTTACCTCAGACTTCTTTCCTCCATCTGTACCACCACACACATTTGAACCTCTCCTCTGAAATCCCCTCTCCTATTTCTCTCAGCAAATACTGGAAGATCTACATCAAACCTCAAGACAAGCAAGAAGACCATAAGCCCTTCCTGCTCATTCTCCCACATGCTGTGTGATAGGTTGTGTCTACTTTTATTTTATTGCTTGGTATTCTGTATTTTCTAATGGGTTCATATTTCCATTTCACCAGAGGCATATAATCTGTCTTTCCTCAAACAATTTATTAGTGCCTAAAAACAGTGCCCATGTATTCTAACTGAATTTAAGAATTCAATTTTAAATCTTCCAAGAGGTTTAGTCCAGATCCATGCATGCACTAGGCACTTAAATGTTTACCAAATGTTTCTTGCCTGACCAATTACATTCCCAATAAGTAAAGAAATTATTAATGAAAGAAGCACAAAGTATAAGCAAACAAATAACATTTTACCTGTTTCATTTTGATCAGGAAGCAATCAATGAAGTCCCGGGGATTGTCTATGTCCAAGGATTCTTGGTGATCTTTTACTTGTTCCAAAACATAACTTTTTATGTAAGCAAAATTTTTAAATACTTTGTTATGACTCCCTGGGAGAAAATCCATGAGAGCAGGGAAAGCACTGCAGACCTTAAAGATTAAAGTAGTATTTATTAGGCCAGGAGTAGTGGTGCACCTACATTTCCAGCTACAAAGGAGGCTGGGCCCATGAGCTGGAGACCAGACTGGGCAACATAGTGAGACCTCTTAGCAAAGATAAAATTAAATTAAAAAAAAATTACTGAAGTCATATACACCATATGCCAATCATGGTTTAAAAGTGTGATGGCATGGCATTTGGAGGTAAATGGATGAAGTTAAAGAATATCATGCTAAGTGAAATAAGCCCATCCCCAAACACCAAAGGCTGAATGTTTTCTCTGATATGTGGATGCCGATCTATAATGGGGGAGCGGGGTCAGGGGAAAGCCTGAGAGGAAAAAAGGAACTTTAGTAGGGCAAAGGGGAGGGAAGGGAAAGGAGAGGGTTTGGTGGTAGAAAAGATGGCAGAATGAGATGGACATCATTAACGTAGTTACATGTATGAAGACACAAATGGTGTGCCTCTCCTTTGTGTACAACCAGAGACATGAAAAATTGTGCTCTGTATGTGTATTGAAATGCATTCTGCTGTCATGTATAACAAATAAATAAGCAACTAAAAAAAGAAAAAGAAAAAAAGTATGGTGAATTAAAGCATGATCTCCAATATGTGATTGCACATATAAAGGAATCCTCCATGCTGTCAGAGAGATGGGAATAAACTGACCATATCATCAAACATGAGAAGAATGTCCCATCCTGATACATTTTTTTACATTAGAGCATCTTTATGTCAATTCTCTCATTTTTACTCACAACCTTGAAACACAGAATGCCATGAATTGTTATGACTCATATGTTGCACATGAGCACAGAGGTTAAGGACGTTTGGACAACCTGATACAGAGCACACAGCCACTCCCTGCTATTTCTTCCACCAGCAATAAGCCTCAGGAACAGAATTACAATTTTGTAACTGGGAGGGGTGCAAAGATACCATGAAATCCAGCACTGCATTTTATAGACAAGCACTTGTACACAAGAATGGTTAAATGACTCCTATAAAATCATGTTATTATCTTTTAGGCAGAGTTTAGGGCACAGCAACTCAACACAGGGTAATAGTGTGATGTTTGCTTATGGTTCATTCACACCAAAAACCAATCATTCTGGGATCTTGACCCTGGTCATTTTCTCAACTAGGATCCCAGCTGAAGCCTCAAACACACTCACTACTCAGAGGATCCTGGCAGCAGCTGTGTCCCAAACATTCTCCATCCTTGATATTCTAAATTACAATATTGCTGCCAAGTAATGTCATGAAGAGCTCCTTAGTGTTAACTGGCAGACCAGCCTGTGGGTCATGGAAACTTTTCAACAAGAGCCTGGACGTCCACTGTGTGCCTGGGCATGCTTTGGGGCAGTCACCAAAGTGTTGCCTACAAACAGAGATTTGGTGGGAAAACCACTAGCCACTGGACTTGAATTCTACCCCAAGATTCAGGCATTTGTCGTCTTTGTAAAAATGAAGGGCTGTCTACCTTTTTGAGAGGTTCACATCATGATAGTAAGATCTGGACAGGACTGTGGTGTCTATACATTTACTTCACAGTAGGCACAGTAGAGAGCCCATCCCCCACCAAAAAAAATTCAAAATATCTTGGAAAAGCTGGCAGAATCAACTTTGTCAGAACTCTGGAAGACAGAAGTTTACAACAAAGGGAAAGATGAGTTTAAAAAATAAAATAAAATAACTAAAACTCGCTGGAAAGCTTTGTGGCATTGCTTCTGCTCCTCCCACCTTCCTCCCTGACTTGGCAGTGGCCTTAAAGTGGGTACCCCTGTTCCCAGTGAGGGACCCTGGTTCTTGGTTCCAGAGGAACAGAGACTGTGTTTCTCTGCTGTAACCTATCGAGGACTACCTGAAAGACAGAAGTAAAGCCTGTGTATCTGCTTCATCTGAGTCAGAACTCACTGGGGCAGAAAAGCAAGGGCAATATCAAAAACCACATAATGAAAAAAAAACTCATAATGTCCTACAGAAGGAAAAAAAATTTTTTTAACTTAGAATGTCACGAAGCAACCCTAAACCAGCCAGGGCAAAAGAGTACAGTTAAGGCACAACAGCCTAGGAAGGAAAGCTGGGAGGAGGGTATCTTGGAAAAATTACAACACTCAAAAGCACCCACACATTCTGATAAATTCAAACAAATTACAAACAGGCCCAGGGCAGAATTTGGGCTAAGAAACGACCCTCTGCTGAATTCTAGGCTGCCTACGAGCAAGTTGGCTGGCAGAGAGTCAATCTGGAGAAAGTTCCTCCCTCCCTCCCTCCATTTATTTTGGCCCTCCTCCTTTTTTTCTTCTTTCCTTCGGTTCATCTTCTCTCTCTCCGGGACTCTCTCTCTCTCTCTCTCTCTCTCCTCCCCCCGTCCTCCATTTTCTTTCTCTCTCTTTTTGGCTCCTCACCTTCAAGGACATTTCTGTTGAAACCGTGGGTACATAAGCTAAAGGAGCAGAGATTTCAGAGACCACACTTGACAAAGATTACAGACTTTTAAAAAATGGCTTAGAAAAGTCACACAGTTTAGAATTTGTGCTTATTTCATTAGTTTTTCTTTTCATATACCATGTATTACTTTTGCCATGTTGTTGAAAACAACATTCTACAGAAAGGAGAGAGAGAGAGAGAGAGAGAGAGAGAGAGAGAGAGAGAGAGAGACTATCAAACAAAAAAAGAAACAAAGAAAAGAAAACCAAAAAACCAGGAAGGAGGATGAATCTGCTTTTCAAACAATAATCTATAAACTGAGGTATGAGAGAAATGTTTGAATAGTGAACACAATGGACACTGATGTAGAACTTTGGACTTGTCAGAGAAATAAACACAAATGATTGTTAAGAAAAGATGATCTTGGTCTCACCTGCATCCATGGGGAATTCAAAATCTTGAAGTTTTCATTAAATTTTCCCATCAAGTTAAGAAAATTCTTATCTTTATAATCAAAACGATTCTGGAAAATAATGGAGCAGATCACATTGCAAGGAGCGCAGCCCAGGATGAAGGTAGGATCACTGGGTGAGCCTGAAGAATTGGAAACAATTTTGAAAGACATTAAAATATGCATATAAAAGTCTGTGTCTTTAAAGTCACAAACAAAGGTAACTTTAGAATCTCTAAAACAATTCTGACACAGAACTCTCACAAGCTTAAAATCAACACATCATTTTTCCTTTGAACCTAAATTGACTATTCTATCCTAGCTATCTTAATAATTGTTATACAAATACTCTTTTAATATTCACGCCTCAAGTAAACATCACTCTTTGTGCACATGATTCTGATCCAAAGTCCCTGTTATTTTGGAAGGCAAAGGGAAAAAAAACTTTTGAGTGGCCACTATATATACAATGAAATATTACTCAGCAATAAAAGAGAATAAAATCATGGCATTTGCAGGTAAATGGATGGGGTTAGAGAAGATAATGCTAAGTGAAATTAGCCAATCCCAAGAAACCAAATGTCGAATGTTTTCTCTGATATAAGGAGGCTGATTCATAATGGGATAGGGAGAGGGAGTGTGGGAGGAATAGATGAACTCTAGAGAGGGCAGGGTTCTTGGAGGGGAAGGGAGGGGGCATTGGGTTATAATGATGGTGGAATGTGATGATCATTATTATCCAAAGTGCATGTATAAAGACACAAATTGGTGTGAATATACTTTGTATACAACCAGAGATATAAAAAATTATGCTCTATATGTGTAATAAGAATTGTAATAAATTCCACCATCATATATAAATTTTAAAAAAAGAATTTAAAAAAAACAGTAAGGGCTAGAGTCATAGCTCAGTTGTAGAATGCTTACCTAGCATGTGTGAGGCACTGGGTTTGATTCTCAGTACCGCATATAAATAAATAAACAAATAAAGGTCCATAAACAACTAAATAAATTAATTAAAATATGAATAAACCTTTAAAAATAAAACACCTAGTAAGGACTTTGGATATGGCTCAATGTTAGAGGACTTGCCTATCATGGGAGAGGCCTTGGATTCAATCCTCAGTACAGGGGGTGGAGAGAAAACCCTTAATAATTTGAGTTAGAAGCACATTGTCACGATGAGCAAAAGGTACGACTTATGCAGTCCAGGGGGAGAAATAAAGAATATCCATATGCTTCTGCCCTTTTCAATGCTTTATTCACTCAAACCACTCAATACAATTGCACTCTATAAGTTCTTACTCAAGAAAACAATAATCCTTAATGCTAGGCACTGCAATAGACATAACCAATTCACAGCAAACAATTCTAGATTAATTAATTCTAAGCACTGCAAACACACTTAACCATGACAGGCTAGTGACAGACATTCCCTCTGCATGCTAAGTTCAAGTATCAGATCAAAAGTCTCAAGCCTTAGTTAGGCTCTAAGTCCAGCAGATGCACACTCACTCAGACCATAGTGATCAAGTCCAGAACCAAGGCAGGTTTCTTGGGTGGAGCTGATGGCCAGTTTAGGAGGTGGTCCTAGGGAGAATTTGCAGCTCTCACCAGGGTCAAGATGTGGCTGTAGAGTTTGAGAGTGGTGAGAACAATGCAGAGGTTCAGGCAGATGGAATGAGTTGGGATGTCAGTCCAGTCCTCATCAGGCTCTCCAGCTTTCATGCATCAGTATCGAATGGCTGAATATTTGTTCATTTGCTCTATTATTTACACTAAATTTGGGGGCTTTTGACCCCCCCTTCAATCCTGATCAGTTACCACCAGATTTCTCAGTGACATCATTTACCCTGGGGTTAACACATCTGGTCTGGTGGTCTCCCCCTGATCTTCTCACCTTTCCCTCTTACCAGGCCAGGACAGCCTGCCAGGGGCTTCACTCTGTTTATCATGGGAAGGGGAAGTAACTTTTTTGAGGTCATACTGGAGGGCTCTGTGGTTGTGCCTGGTGAGACTGCAGGTTTCAAACTGGAGTTTATAATATGAAGTTGCTTAGGCTCAGGACTAAGGCCATCCTCACACACATCCACCTGGGAAGCTTGTAAAAAGTTAAACATTGACATAGGAAGGATTAAAATAGCAACCTGGAAACTTTTATATGGAATGAATAGTTTAAGAAACTATAGGAACTATATGTAGAAACAGCACAGAAGCTGACTAAATTAGAGAGAATAACTACAGGAAATGCAGGCATTTGCAGGTAAATACAAATGTAAAAAGGCAAAAGCTATCCATGTTATATGAAAAGAAAACCTAACAAAAATTAGCACATACTCTTGGGGCCGGGGTTGTAGCTCAGTGGTAGAGCGCTTGCCTGGCATGTGTGAGGCACTGGGATTGATTCTCAGCACCACATATAAATGAATAAATAAAATAAAGGTCCATCAACAAAGAAAATAAATACTTTTTAAAAAAATTAGCACATACTCTAAGAGAGATCTATTAGCTTAAGATAAGTGAAATAAGAAATCTTCATTTCAAATTTAAATCACAGGTTGGACAAACACAAAAGATTACATCAATAAATGAAGTCCTTTTATTTCTTCATTTCAATACTGAAAGAGAAAATTTAAAAAAAAAAAAAAAGAATCTCCTACTCTAGGAAATAGTGTCCGTCATCACAAAGTCCACCTTTACTGTATTTGGGCAAAGGCTGCACTCCTGTGGAAATAAGAGTTACTGCTCTATATAGTTATCACAGAATACTGAATGTGTAAGGATGGCCTTAACCTAAGATGGGCCTTAACCCAAGTAACTCCATTTTAAAATAAAACTGCAGTCCCCACCAAGCGAGCCTACAGAGCCCTCTAATATTGTCATCAGGCAGAGCCTGATAAAAGCAAGTCACTTTCCACAACCATGATTAAAACTCAGAGTGAAGTCACTGTCATTTGCCTTTGTCCTGATAAAGTCAGAGGCAAGAGATCAGGCCTCAACTCACTGGTACAGTTGTCCTGACCCCAAAATCAAAAGACCTCACTGAGAAACCCAGTAGCGGCTGATAGGGATCTAAAGGGTGAGTAGACGCCCCCAAATCTAGCATAAGTGATAGAGCAAATGAACAGACATTCAGCCAGCTGACACTGATGCCCACAAGCCAGAGAGCCTGATGAGGACCTGGACTAACATCCCAACTCTTCTCATCATCTGCCTGATCCTCTGCATCATCCTCACTGCTCTGAAACTCTACAGCCATATCTTGACCCTGGTGAGAACAGCGACTTCTCCTTATGATGGTCTCCTCAGCGGCCATCAGCGTCACCCCAGGAGAATCCTCCATTGGTTCCTGACCTGATCACCACGGTCTGAGTGAGTGTGCATCTGCTGGACTTAAGGCCTAGGCTTGAGACTTTAGATCTCGCACTTGAGCTTAGCACGTAGAGGGGATGTCTGTAATGAGTCTGTCGTAATTAAGTGTGTTTGCAGTGCTTAGAATTAACTTACAATTGTTTGCTTTGAATTAATTATGTCTATTGCAGTGCCCAGCATTAAGGATTTGTCATTTTCTTTTTAAAAAATATTTTTTAGTTGTAGTTGAACACAATACCTTTATTCTGTTTATTTATTTTTTATTTATGTGGTGCTGAAGATCGAACCCAGCATCTCACACGCACTAAGTGAGCACTCTACTGCTGAGCCACAACCCCAGCCCCAGGAGTGTCATTTTCTTGATTAATAACCTATAGAGTTGAATTGTATTGAGTGATTTGAGTGAATAAAGCATTGAAAAGGGGCAGAAGTGTATGAACGTTCTTTATTTCTCCCCCTCAACTGCAAAGTCACACCTTTGCCCATTGCAACAGTATGTTATTATGAATTTTAAATTTAAACATCATTTAGGTCTAGTCCCATAATTTTACAGAAAAGAAAATGGGAACATTTTCTTTTTTGAATGGGCAATATTTAAATAAAATTTCTGTAACAAAATTAACAAAAAAAACCTTTATATGTAAAAGCCCCCAAATATGCATTATAGATATAATTAAGGGGAATTTGAATGAAAAGTGTTATGAAGAAATAATAGGGAATTAAATAATAAAAAACTGTTTAGTTAACAACTCTTATGTCTGGCTCCTTTTCAGGTGAAAACCTAGGGCATTAAGCTTTCAAGAAAAAATTCTTATTTTACTTTGGAAGATAAGAAATAATTTGCAATTTCTGTGTGTGTGTGTGTGTATGTGTTTGCTTCACACACAAAAAAAAATCGGATTTTCAATCTTTCCCTTCATTTAGAAAAACACTTAGTATATTTTAGGGTAATTTCAAGCTGGAAATCAATATGTCATAGATGAGTAGAGTTTGCACTGGGTGTAAGTAATTACCATAAAAACCTCTAATCCCAAACTAAATAGTTTTAAGATGTTCCTGGATCCTGTTTTTGCTTGGATGTGCTGAAAACAAAAAAGCAGGAGATGATAACCAATGAAAAGACTGGTAGATATTACAGTCTCCAAATAAAAAATGCCAGTCCCCACAGGGCCAATTTCAGTCAGGAGGCAGAAGAAGCAAGGGGAAGTCATGGAGCAAAAACCTCACTGGAGTTTGCAACAGAAGGAATGAGTGAAGTAGGGTAGGTACACTCCACTCCCTCCCACGCAGGACACTTAGATGCTATCTACCCTCAGGAACTCCAGCCTCCACTCCCCTGTGGACCTCCATCTACCAACAAGGGGATTCCTGGTTCGCCTCCATCTCTGCAGCTACTGCCATAGTCCCATCCCCTATATGGTAATCTTTATGCGTTTGGGGACATCTCACAGGCTCTGAAGGCAGCCAAAGCCACAGTACTGAATGTTACAGAGCTCACTTCTGAACACATAACACAATGCCATCGCCCACTCTCCACCCCAAACCCGAAACCCCGCACTGGAAGCAGACCGCCTCCATCTTGGCTTACCTTTCTCGCCATATTTGGTGGAGGAAGTTCCCAGATCGGAACTCCAGCTGGCCAGGTGCCTACTTTCCAACTTTCCCCTTTTCCCCACCACAGTAACTACCCAACACAAAACAGCTCTCAGTGGTACAGGTGCACAGTGTGACCCTGGCGCAGCCCATGGAAGCCCTGGTGAGCGAGGTCCCTCAATTGGGAACTACTAAGGGAGAGGGAGATGGGGCTAAAGTTTAGAGATTAACAGAGCGATCAGGAACTGGGAAATCTTCAGGCAAGAGAGGGAGATAGGACCCAATGCTCAACTCATATGAGCAGACACAAAAAGGGAACCTTGAGGTGTAGTCTCCCTGCAGGGACTGGCGGGACCCATTCCTCACTTACAGGCACCCTACACCAGGACCAGCCTTCCCACCCTGGTTACCTTCACCATTCTGAAGGCAGACAACAGACAGCACCACCTATTGGATGAGAAGAGAAACACGAAAGATACTGCTCTCTAAGACTATCAACAATGTTGGCTTCTTCCTTGGAGACTTTTTTCATTTTTCTCTTTTTCTTCTCCCCCTCTATCCTCCTGGCCTCACATCCCCAACATATGTGTATTGTATAGGCCTTTTTTTTCTTTTTCTTTTCCCCTCCAATTGTTACTATTTTAACATCCTTTATTTTTCTGAATACATATGTGTGTTTGTTTTATGTACTCTACTGACTTCCCACTTACTTGTCTACCCAAAATTACTTCCTCTCTATTCTCTTGCTACTAATCCTCTTCATTAGATTTCTCTTTCACACTTCCTAAGATATATTAACTCTCTATATCCTCACATACTCCCTCCTCAGCATATTGTCCTATGTCTCACCCCCAGTTCATTGTCCACTGTCAGAAACTGTAAACCCTTTTGCAAACCTACTGATTATATTATAGATAATAATATAATTCAACATTTCTGTACATTGTGACCAAACTGTAAACATCTTAATAGCAACGAATTGTTCATAGGTGGTATATTGTTGATAGTGGAATCTGTTAATGTTGTCCTTCCCCGTAAAGGAGAGGTGTTGGAACCATACAAGAGCACTATAAGCCTATAGGGTTAAAACAATAACACTCCAGGCCCACAGAGCTAGAAGGGAAGACACATGAGCAACATGAAAAGACAAGGGAAGAAACTGCCCCAAACAAATCAAGAAAACACATCATTAGCGTCCATGGCCAGCACAGCAGATGAAATGACAGAGAAGGAGTTCAGGATGTACATAATTAAAATGTTCTATTCATTTAAGGATGATAAAAGAGAGCAAATATAGGCAGCAGATTATCATTTTGACAAGGAGCTACATGAACAAATACAGAAAGCAAAAGATTACTTCAACAGGGAGATAGAGGTTCCAGAAAAAAAAAAAAAGAAACAGAAACCCTTGACATGAAAGCAACAATAAACCAATTGAAAGCTTCACCAACAGAGTAGATCACTTGGAAGACAGGACATGAGAGAATGAAGACAAAATATATAATCCTGAAAAGAGTGTAGACCACACAGTAAAACTGGTAAGAAATCATGAGCAGAACATTCAAGAAATATGGGATAGCATAAAAAGACCAAATTTAAGAGTTATTGGAAAAGAGGAAAACATAGAGTTCCAAACCAAAAGAATGAACAATCTATTCAATGAAATAATTTCAGAAAACTTTCCAAACATGAAGAATGAATTGAAAAACCAAACTTAATAAGCCTACAGAATGCCAAATGTAAAAAATCACAACAGATCCACACCAAGGCACATTATAAAGAAAATGCCCAACATACAGAATAAGGACAGAATTTTAAAAGCCACAGGAGAACAAAATCAGATTACAATAGGGAGAAAACAATTTAGGATAAGAGCATATTTTTCAACATAGACCCTGAAAGCTACAAGATCCTGAAAAAACATATATCAAGCTCTGAAAGAAAATGGATGCCAACCAAGAATCTTGTATCCAGAAAAATTAAGCTTTAGATTTGATGACAAAATAAAAACCTTCCATGATAAATGAAAGTTAGAAGAATTTGTAGCTTGGGCTGGGGATGTGGCTCAAGCGGTAGTGCGCTTGCCTGGCATGAGTGCAGCCCAGATTTGATCCTCAGCACCACATACAAAAACAAAGATGTTGTGTCCACCAAGAACTAAAAAATAAATATTAAAATTCTCTTTCTCTCTCTCTCTCTCTCTCTCTCTCTCTCTCTCTCTCTCTCTCT